GGAGACGGAGGAGGTCTCTGTCTTGCCAGCAGACGTGTCCTCGTCGCCCAGCGGGTTCTTGCCGCAGCAGAGGGTTGTGATCATGCAGTTACGGAACTGGAAGAGAGGGAAGCCTGGGGTGAGGCCGGTGGATGCCGCAAAGCTGCCTCCGAGCCCGGCAGAGCTGCTTAGAAGCCCTCAGCACTGCAGCGTGGGAGCCCCCACGCTGGTGGAGTGTCTTTCCCCACTGCCTGCTGCCTGCCCTGCCTGCTGCTCCAGGCCAGCATGCACACAGCCTCAGCTCATCCATGGACACAGGGCCTGGCTCGTTTCAGATGGAAGGGGCCATGAGGTGCATACAACACCACGGATGATCTGCCCAGTTGCCCTCCAGCATGCTGAAACAAGATCACCTGGAAACAAACCCCCTTCCCAGCCCGCTGCCACCTCAACGTGCTGTAACTCTCTGCCAGCTGTTATAAAATGATACACAAGAAGGGAGGTTGCCTGGCATCTGGCCAGTTACCTGTTTGTTCATGACGATGTAAATCACAGGGTTGTAGATGGAGGAGCTCTTGGCAAAGAAAGCTGGGATGGTCATGAAGATGGGCCCAAAGTCTGACCCCTGGTTGGTGAAGATGTAGAAAGCGACACTGGCGTAAGGGACCCAGCATATCAGGAAGGCGATGACCATGATGATGACCATGCGGGTCACTTCTTTCTCTGGGGTGTGGCAAGCCCCGTGCTGCGGGGCGGCAGCCTGTGGGCAGGAGGGAAGGGAAACATGATTGAGCTGGGGTGTGCTGCGTGGGGTCAGAGCTTGGGATGATTGAGCTGCACATCTGGCAACTGACGTTTCTCCCTTTGTGGATGGCCAGACTGGCACTGAGGGCCCTTTCTATCACCAGCCTGGAGCCTGGCGTGGCCCCCCGCCCAGCACTGGGCACAGGGCCCACCACCACTGGCAGGTACCCACCTCCTTGACGGTGCAAACCAGGTTCCCGTAGCAGAAGAAAATGACTGTCAGCGGGATCATGAAGTGAACCACAAACATGTAGATGACAAAAGACTCATTGTTGATCTCTGGCTTCAGGGTGTAATAGTCGATCCCACAAGAGCACTGCATGCCCTCGGGG